CCCCCCCCGTGAATTTATATATTTATTACTCGTGACTAAAGAGTTGTCGCAAATTGTGGCACACTGATTTTTCAGTTTCCAATTAAAGTTCTAGTTTATTTTAAACATTGCCCCCCTCTTTAAGCACATAAAATTATATTTGCCTTCCCCTGGATTCTCAACTCCCTCTCCTGATAAATATTGCACAGTCCCTAAAAGCGTGCAATGTGTTTGCGCTATTATTGACACACWGTGGAATCTTAGTAAATATGGACCGACCAGTACAGCAAGGCCTCAACAGAAAGCCTCAACAAGCATCTTTCTTTTTTCTTTGAAGCCTCCTTGAGTAAACAGTGAAGCAAAAATACCTACCTACCTAAATTGAAGGATATAAATGAAAAAGTGTAATATAGTATCTAAGCCATTCCAAATTTTTGTTTTAACTCTAGGCAAGTATACAACTTCTGCTTTGCATCTTGTCTTGTTGAATGGCTTCGCACATCGCTAAGTTTTATAAATACGTTTTGGAATTTTTTATTGAGAAGAGCTTTCTTCAATTCGCACGAATATGAAAAAAACGATATAGAATAATTCACAAGATCGGTGCAGTTTGCGTACATAGATAACTTTTAAAGACTGGAGATGTATAAGCATTGGAAGGGGAGAATGTAATCAACAGCATCGCCCTCTTCTGCAAAATAGGCCAAGGTTTTAAAGTCGTCTCGCATGGGTGATCCCCAAGAGAGATTACCGTAAATCAAAAATKGATAAATTAATGAATGATATAAATTGATAAGAACCGATTTACATAATATCGAAGTTAAGAAAGCATACATGTATGTTTCTTTTCATTTAATTAGTAAAGATATATTGGATATGTTGCTTCCAGGAAAAATGATTATCGATATATATGCCGAGATATTTTATACACGTTTACATTTAATGTTTTAGAGATATAGGATTTAACTCAAGTCTAAAGTTCTCAATTTTGCTCTTCAAGAGCAGAAAAGGTCTGAGTTCGACTTTTCAATATTGATAGTTGTTAGCATACAGCCATGTATATTAAACTAGACCCACGTGCATCCAAGATCCTTTGCGCGATATTTTCACATACGAAAAATCGCCATCTTTGATTTTGAAAATCAGAAAGCACCTTTAAACAATAGATTATTTGTAATGAAAAGAAACAATCACAAAGGCTTTTGGATGCACGTGGTCCTAGTTTCATTGTTAATACTTTGTCTGTTTTTCATGTTTTGACTACTTGTAATGACTAGATGACATCACTGACGATTCCATAACAATCAGACCATTTAAGCATTACGAAGATTAACCTGTTAAGTTKACATTTGCTTTAAGCTGACTAAACATTACTCTTTTTGTACTACWGAATCTATCAATCAATCAATAGTTACAATTAGAATTCGTTTCTCGTTGTTATAAGGAAAATTGCTAATAAGAATGTCATCTTGTTCTTATTCGACCTTATCCATTTTAAGAATGCTTTTACTAAAAGYGTGAAAAATTAGAATACTTATTTGCAACTATTTCATGATAATTCTTTAAATTTCTTTTGTTTTGCACAATTGAGAAATCGTCTTTTGAGTAGCAGCGAGCATAATAATTTTAGAATCAGAAGTACTGACGATGCGTAAGTAACGCCAAAACATGTCATGTCTAATAAACAATTTAAGATCGTAATAGCGCTTCTAAAATTTAGAAATTGGTGTAACACCAAAAACACTTCACTGGGTCTATCAATAATTCAATGTTGTGGTATATCTATGAGGTCTCACTCTCGAATTCACAAATTTCACTGAAAGAACGGATTCACAAAAGTATTCTAACTTATATTGGAATTCCAGGTCTATTATTTCAACAACAAAAAACACGAAAACTACTGAAATTATTTGCGTGTATTATATTTTTTCTAAAGATTTAAATTCAAAATTAAATTTAAAATTTAAAATTTACTACATTACTGCAGCTATTACAGCCTTCGATTTTTTTTTTTTTTATTGTGTTTTTTTTTACCGAGATCTGTGGGCAGTGCTTTGTGGGCAGTCATTTGCTTAGCTGTTGAAAATAAGCAAACAATTTCGTACAAACGCACTTGCAATTCTTAATTATCTTCTTTTAATWTACTGCTATATTTATTTGCTTCATTCTGCCTCACAATCTGTGAGGAAAGAGAACTCGTCTGCTGTTATCACSTTAACATAAGGTGAGTTGTATCAAGAATCAATTAGACTTTTCTTGGAATTAGAATAGWTTCTGCTGTGACAACAACTTACGCGTCAGACTTTACTCTGTTGTTATGCTGAAATTGTGAACTCGTAGGAAGATTTTAAGTATTACAAATAATAAAGAAATAAGGCTCTTTTTGGTCAAAGACAAAGAGTAATATGTCAGCACTAGCTCTCAATTGCATATTTTCTAGAAAACAGTTTCTATTTCATTTCATATACACATGCATAAAAAAAAGAAAAAAAAACATACAACAGAAGTAGAAAATTGAGACCCTTTTTTTGTGCGAGACCTTTGTTGCAGTGTTCAGCGGCAGCTCGGTAATGTATGATATTGTTTTGTTATTGAGAATAAAAACTGTCGTAATTAAAGTAGCTCGTCCATTGCTGTTGATACAAATTCGTTGTTTTGTAGGTATATTTCC